GCGGGGTCCAAACACTCGTCGGTCTACATCAGGGTACTGAGTATTCCTTGGTGATAACTTGATTTCTTGGTCCTCCAAACATCAGCCCACTTTATCTAAGTCAAGTGCCGAGGCAGAATACAGAGGGGTTGCTAATGTTGTTTCCGAATCCTGCTGGGTTTGAAATCTGTTGCTTGAGCTTCGATGTCCTATTTCGAAAGCAACACTTGTTTATTGCGACAATATTAGTGCCATTTATCTTTCCAATAATCCGGTTCAACATCAGCGCACTAAACATATTGAGATGGACATTCACTTTGTTCGTGAGAAAGTTAAACGGAGCGAAGTTTGTGTCCTACATGTGCCTTCCCGATACCAGATTGCAGACATTTTCACTAAAGGTCTGCCTAAGGTTTTATTTGTTGATTTTCGGGATAGTCTCAGCGTTCGCAGTCCTCCCGTTTCGACTGCGGGGGTGTGTTAGATTATGTAAATAATCTTGTGTATAATTAGTTTGTAATTTACTATTATATCCTTAGCCCTAACCCTAGTACACGCTTGTATATATATATATATATATATATATATATATATATATATATATATATATATATATATATATATATATATATATATATATATATATATATATATATATATATATATATATATATATATATATATATATATATATATATATATATATATATATATATATAATCAATGAGAAAGGCACGACAAATATTCTCATATTCTCTCAGGTTATTAAGCTTTCGAATACAGTAAGATGAATCAGAAGGAAAACATCCTCATGGCTACAAAGGATTGTCTCTCCAACAAGGCTGTATTTTCCAGCGATATAAACGTGAGATGTTCCACTGTACAAGATTTACTTGACGATCGTAGTTTTAAGAAGGCAATTTTTATTTGATTCAATATCTTATGTATTTGTTAAAGTTGAATCTCTTTTGTAAATGTCATATGACTTTTTATTATTGAATTTCTATTAAAAAAAAAAAGCGGTAATACTTGTTAAGTAAAACCCTTGTTATGAGTTCAAGATTAGCTATAAGATTTTGTGAATTTTTGTTTTGGAGCATCCGATTTGATGTTGAACATCTGCTTGTTCTTCAACATCAAACTGAAATATGAAATAGACAGAATTTGTTGGTAGATAATAAAATATACTTCTTAAAAATTTTCCAACTTGTAACGACAAACTTAATACTCCGTACTCTGTACCATAATTTTGTAATGATATATGTTAATTTGTGAAATTGGAACGAGTTCAATTCGACTAGGTCATTTTAATTTCAAATTTGAGTCATGCTAATAAATTATTGTTCTCATATAAATAGGAATTATTTGGGTTAGTCAAGAATTATTGAAGCACTTTTATCACCTTCGAAACATTGTTTAGTGTACATTTTTAGTAGATGTACAATGCATTTTTATTTTTTTTTAAAGTAAGGAGAAGGACTCTGACCGTACCTAAACCCTCATGGTTTTAGTCACCTTGAGAGTGAGGGAGGAAGGGTAAGAGATCCCCACTCTCGAGTGTCTCTAGTGGAAATTGAAGCCCCAACCTTAGGGTTGGAAAGTATATTCATTCCCACTAGACCAAGCTTAGCTTGGTAGATGTACAATAGTATTGATATTGAATTATTTATTTATTTATTTATTTATTTTTATTTAATTTTTTTTTTATTTTTTATCACGTACTACTTTTTTCATTCGTATGAACTTTCATTCTTTCAATATATGGTATATGGTTACCGAAAAATAACATGTGCCCACGTCGAATACAGACTGTTTTCCTCCCAATATTTCAAACAAACTTCTGTGAAAGAAAATGTCGAAATTGAAAAGTCATTCTTATTTATCATAAAATAATGGTAACTTTACTTACTTCTTCCTAAATCTAAAGATATACTTGTATATGAGATTAAGCCTGCAAAAATAATTAGTTCAGCTTATTTTGTAGTTTTGCAAAAATGTTTACAATTCGAGCAGAAGACATATTATTTAAGTTAAATGATGAACAAAAATGTTTTTTCTTCTTCTTTCTTCTCGAGTATAGCACGGCCGGGGCCGGAATCGGCTTTGGAGCTAACCTACTTACGAAAATCAGCTCTTCCACCGTAGGCTTCCGTTTTTGAGGAATTGCCCTCGTTCTCATCGGGGTTGTCCTCTTGATTCTTTGCTGTGGTAGTTGCTCATTGGCTCAGAATCCAAAGCTTGCATTCGCTAAGACCGTGTATTGTTTGGTGCCTTTGCTCGCTTCCCTGGCCTCCTTGGGCATCTTCGCCTTGGCGGTGAGTAGCCAAGGCGAAGGAAGTCGTCACCCGAGAGATCATACAAGGAGTATGATGTAGAGTCATACTCTAAGTGGATGCAAAATAAGGTCAATGATGCATTTAATTGGGACAAATACTACAAGAGTGTTGTTAAGCATAATGTGTGCCAAAAGTTAGAAGAGGATTATAAGCATGACTCCCTTGCTGAATTCCACAAAAGAAGCTTATCTCCTTTTGAGGTAACTATTTGATTTAATTTGTTTGTGTAATTTTAGGTGTTTGTGCATATCTAATTTGACATTCATTGACAACCCAAGATTCGGATGGTTAATTTGTGTTTAACCTAATTAATCCATATCCTAATCAATGATGCATGCTCAAATGCTCTATCAATACAATAGCTAATCATTATTTTAGTAGATTTACGCATGTTAGAGATGGCTATACACAAATTGAGTTTCGATTGTTACATAGAGCCCTGAAATTGTTGGGGCCTTAGACCCGTGTCAAAACATTAATATATAGAAGGTTCAATTCATAATAAGCCATATGGAGAGTGTTCCTAAAACAAAAGTTGATAAAAGCCAAAGGTACGGAATTTAAATTAAGGAGTATGTTTTTAAGAGTAGGAAGTATACAAAGATTAATTTCTAAATCTAGTATTAATGGTGATTGTTAGAAGATTCATGTTTACTTATTTAAGTTAAATTAAGGAAGGGTTAACGTTAGTTCATCTTAATTGCATAACGCCTCCATAATAAATAAACGGTCATGTTGAACCCCACAACTAATTACATTTTTTTTTGTAATATATATTTTATAGAGTGGTTGTTGCAAGCCTCCAGAAGATTGTAACTTCAATTACATAAGCCCATTAATTTGGATAAAACCAGAGAATGGAACTTACTCAAATGTTGATTGCAATAGATGGGATAATGATCCAAACACCCTATGCTTCGATTGCCAATCATGCAAGGGTGCTTTTCTTGAAGATGTAACGACTCAATGGTTTACAAGGGGTGTTATTTTGGTATTGCTAGGAAGCACACATCTCTTGCTTGGTATATATCTCATTTATTTAATGTTTAGCATTAATTCACCTCATGATTATACTTTGATTTAGCCTTCTTGTACCTTGTTTATAGATTTCGTGACAAATTATGTAAAACAATTGTTTATTTGTGCTAAAGTATTTAACTATGTAATACTCTAGCTAGAATTTTGTTATGGTTTGATTCTACTATTTTTTTTATTCTAAGGGGATATATATATTACTTTCTCAAGATAAGAGTGTATACCAAAACTACAAGCTACCTCCATAAATACAACTGAAAATTCAGAGTAGCACATAAGATTGCTTACTTTAAGTCCCTCAAAATTTTAAAATGGTCAATTTGAAGGTAACTTTAACAATTTTTATTTTAACTTTGGTTCCTTTAGGGGAGACTTTTAATTTGTAATGAGTTTGATTTTATTTTAATGTGTAATTTCTAATAAATACATAATATGATTAATTTAATACATTATAAGTGTTTTTAATGGGTAAAATTTATGTTAGGAAAATAGTAACTTTTGTAGTATATAAGGATAACTTTAAATATTTTTAGAATAACGTTAACCCGTCTTACAATAAGTTAGAATAACTTTAACCCGTCTTACAATAAGTTAATGAAAGTCCGCCTTAACCAATAATTTGTGCATGTGAAATATGAATTGTTGCAACTTGCAAGTACTAAAAAAATGGCCAAAAGAGGTGACTAGGTGAGCCTTGTAAATATCTATAAACGTAGGAAGTAGTATACACTAGGGCAATTTTAGTGATAATTTTACTATCTATTATCAACTACAGAGTATGTTTACGTTTTTAGTTTTTTTAATTGCTTTTTAGCTTTGTAAGTTCCTTTAGTAAAAAAAAAAAATAATAATAAATAAATAAATAAGTAAACTACAGAGTATGATTCCACAAAATATTTCTACATAATTTCCTATAAGGATATCCTCTTTTTTAAGAAACAAATTGCAAGACGGCTATCAGTTTGACATTGAGGAATTTTGATTTCATTTAGCTTTTTATCAAAAATTTCAAAAAAAACAAAATATACTGAAACATTCAAATACGCTTTTATTTCATACCAAACAAAGGCTAAACCGATAAACCCTACATGAGCTTAACATAACACTCAAACACAATGATACATATTATTTTAATAATTCTCCCAAAGAAAAAGATCTTGTACATACAAACAATGCTGAATAAAATGCATGAAAATATAAATACCCCATCACATAAGCTCAATAAAGAGCAAAAGGGGGACAATCTTAGCAAGGCGGAAGGCGTAATTAAGCAGGACTCCTAACCATGGTAGTAGAATAAAGATTTGGAGCTTGGTTCAAATTCATCTACAATCAACCTCTTAGATACTAGCTTGTCATTTTGATTATAGAGTATGGTTGGAGCATGGTTTACGCATCTGCAGTCAACTTCTTAGATACCGACTTGTCATTTTTGTAGTAGAATAAAAAGTTGGAGCTCGGTTCAATTTCATCAGCAATCAACTTCTTAGATTCTGGCTTATCATTTTGGTGGTAGATTAAAGGGTTAGAGCTTGGTTCAAATCATCTGCAACCAATTTCTTAGATATTGGCTTATCATTTTGGTGGTAGATTAAAGGGTTGGAGCTTGGTTCAAATTCATCTGCAATCAACTTTTTAGATATAGGCTTATCATTTTGGTAGTAGAATAAAGGGTTGGAGCTTGGAGCTTGGTTCAAATTCATCTGCAATCAACTTTTTAGATATAGGCTTAACATTTTGGTAGTAGAATAAAGGGTTGGAGCTTGGTTCAAATTCATCTGCAATCAACTTTTTAGATATAGGCTTATCATTTTGGTAGTAGAATAAAGGGTTGGAGCTTGGTTCAAATTCATCTGCAATCAACTTTTTAGATATAGGCTTATCATTTTGGTAGTAGAATAAAGGGTTGGAGCTTGGTTCAAATTCATCTGCAATCAACTTTTTAGATATAGGCTTATCATTTTGGTAGTAGAATAAAGGGTTGGAGCTTGGTTCAAATTCATCTGCAATCAACTTTTTAGATATAGGCTTAACATTTTGGTAGTAGAATAAAGGGTTGGAGCTTGGTTCAAATTCATCTGCAATCAACTTTTTAGATATAGGCTTATCATTTTGGTAGTAGAATAAAGGGTTGGAGCTTGGTTCAAATTCATCTGCAATCAACTTTTTAGATATAGGCTTATCATTTTGGTAGTAGAATAAAGGGTTGGAGCTTGGTTCATTCATTGATTTTTAGATATAGGCTTATCATTTTGGTAGTAGAATAAAGGGTTGGAGCTTGGTTCAAATTCATCTGCAATCAACTTTTTAGATATAGGCTTATCATTTTGGTAGTAGAATAAAGGGTTGGAGCTTGGTTCAAATTCATCTGCAATCAACTTTTTAGATATAGGCTTATCATTTTGGTAGTAGAATAAAGGGTTGGAGCTTGGTTCAAATTCATCTGCAATCAACTTTTTAGATATAGGCTTATCATTTTGGTAGTAGAATAAAGGGTTGGAGCTTGGTTCAAATTCATCTGCAATCAACTTTTTAGATATAGGCTTATCATTTTGGTAGTAGAATAAAGGGTTGGAGCTTGGTTCAAATTCATCTGCATTTTTTTATTTTATTTTTTAGTATTTGGAGCTTGTTCAAATTCATCTGCATTCAACTTTTTAGATATACGCTTATCATTTTGGTAGTAGAATAAAGGGTTGGAGCTTAGTTCAAAATCATCTGCAATCAACTTTTTAGATATAGGCTTATCATTTTGGTAGTAGAATAAAGGGTTGGAGCTAGGTTCAAATTCATTTGCAATCAACTTTTTAGATATAGACTTATCATTTTGGTAGTAGAATAAAGGGTTGGAACTCGGTTCAAATTCATGTGCAATCAACTTTTTAGATATACGCTTATCATTTTGGTAGTAGAATAAAAGGTTGGAGCTTGGTTCAAATTCATCTGCAATCAACTTTTTAGATATAGACTTATCATTTTGGTAGTAGAATAAAAAGTTGGAGCTCGGTTCAAATTCATCACCAATCAACTTCTTAGATTCTAGCTTATCATAATGGTGGTAGATTAAAGGATTAGAGCTTGGTTCAAATTCATCTGCAACTAATTTCTTAGATATTGGCTTATCATTTTGGTGGTAGATTAAAGGGTTGGAGCTTGGTTCAAATTTATCTGCAATCAACTTCTTAGATGCTAGCTTATCATTATGTAAGTCGCAATCTTCATTATTATTGACATCTTTGATGAGACTTTTATCTGCTTCTCCTTTCTCATGGACTTCATACGAATTTATAAAATCTTTGATAGATTCAGGAATGGGCTGCTTATCCATTATTTCTGTCCAATACTCTGCTGGGCCTTTCCTCCCATCAATCGGGCCTGCAAACTGTTCATCATATGGTATCATGAGTTAGGATTAAAAAGAAATACTGTATGTATTATTTGTAATATGGAATGTTTATGTTACTCTAATTACACTTGAATATTTCTTGTTCAAATAAGTAAAAATCATTCGACTAGGATGTACCTAGCAGTGTCAATAATTTATCATAACTCAAATTTAAAATAGACCTAACGCGATCTCACTTAATCTGATCCGGATATCCAATGCAAATTGACACCTCTAGATAATAGATACACCTTTACACGTTTGTTAAAGAATTAAGTATATATTTAACATATTACAATAATAAATTAATCATTGGTAAGTCAGTGCGTATCTAATTTTTGAATTAAAATAAATCTTTTTTGAAACTGATTTCTTAAAGTCACGACTACATACGTAACTAAAGCTTTATTTTAGGCATTAAATTTTCAAATAAAATAAAATCTAAAACATACAATGAAAGACTACATAAGTAAGAGTAATTCCATGCTACAGAATACACTATTACTATTACTATTATTGAGAACAATCTGAAAGGAACATATGTACGGAGTAAAAGCAAATAAAACATAAGAAAATTACCAAAATAATTGAGAGTAGAACTATGAACGTGATGCTGATGTTGCACTTCATACTTGAATTGCTAAATCAATAAGCTAATTTAAGGTAGCTAGTGAGTTTAACTTGATATGATTTTATTTGTGAAAGATAGCTAGTCCCGATTTTCTATTTATAGGGAGAAGTCCAAGTAAACAAATATACAATCAATAATGCAATATATGCATCATTGGATGAAATAAATGTTACTGTAGAATTAGGTAGAGATATATCTTCGAAGCTAATAAAAAAATAGTGTAAGTTCATTATTTATGCAATGTAGTATAAGTACTTCATATTAAATGGGTTTGAGTCACACCCGCTAGCTTTATTTGAATACTTGGTAAATCAAAAGAGGTAGCCTTATAATAAGGTAGATTTAACTTTCGACTTTCTTAGATGTGGGATACACAACTTAATATATATATATATTATAAAAATCACAATGTCAAGCTAATTTGTTTGTATCACTTGTGTCTAATTAATATACTTATTATATATTCGGATCTCAATCTTCTAAAAGTAAGGTTAAACAAAATTAGTTTTACAATACACCTTTTACTCACTATTCATAACTAGGTTACACCTGATGCAATGCACATTTTTTAAAGGGGGTTATTAAATGCCACAATAGAATTACTTATGCCACGATATTAATTGACCTCTCTACCCTTATAAATTTAATCTTTGGCCTCATCCAATTTTCTCACCACCTATGCCCCTCCACCACCATAAACCCTAAACACCATAGGCACACAACTGTGGATTTGACCTCCGACCTGCACCACTAATTTTGCCGGAAAACACTTGTCGCACCGTAACCGCTGGAATCAGCCACCTATCACACCAAATCTACCGGAAAAAATAGTAGGTGGACGACAATGGTATCACGATGTGGGAAGGTGGTTCGGTTGTCGAAAACCGCAGGGAAATCGCCGGCCAATTCGACTGTAAGTTTTTTTTTATTTTTTTTATGTTGTTCGCTGGATTGCTGTAATACGCGCTTACACTGCGGCATTGTCGCATATTGCATGCGACTACGCTGTGGTTGAGTCGCATATTACATGCGGCTGAGCCACGGTGCAGCCGCATATAACATGCGACTCCACCACGGCGTAGTTGCATATTACATGCGACTACTCCACGGTGTAGTCGCATATTACAGGCAATTATGGCTCTTTTTTGAAAAAAAATTTGAATTCGAATTTAAATTTCGAATTATGGTTTTTTTTTTTTTTAAATTTCGACTTTGAATTTATGGTTTTTATTTTTGTCAAATATAATTAATAATATAATTTTTATTTACTAATAGTAAGAACTATTAAATAATAATTAATAATTGTAATGTTAGTTAGTTGTAAATTTAATTTTTGTTATTAATATATAATTATTGTTATGTTATTTGCAAATATAATATTTGTTACTAATTACAGAGTAGTAAATTTTTTTTTTTTGGCATTTGGTTTTAATTTGTAAATATTTAGGATTATCAATATTGTTTTAAAAAAAAAAGATTTCAATTATATATTGTTTAATAGTAAAATTAATAGTAATAATAATTGAAATAATAATAATTATTATTAGAATTATGAATATAATAATTAGAGATTTTATTATTATATTAAATAGCGACAAGGTGGAAAATCGATTGCGGCGACTGATGTGTTGACTGACTCGGGGCCGCGACACACTCGAGCCTGAAACATCGATGCCTCTGTTAGGAGAGAGAGCGATAATTTTATGTACTAGTCTTTGGTTTTTTTTTTGTTTTTTTATTATTTTTTTATTTTTATAATTTACCTAAATTGTTAAGCAATTTCTACACATAAGCATATAACATAAGCAATTTCTACACGTAAGCATATAACATAAGCAACTTCTACACGTAAGCATATTACATTAAAAATGTAGGAAATTGCTTAAAGCTAATCCCAATGTATCCTCCTCCTAAGATGATGAAGTAGACGATGCTATTAGTTGATCCCAATGTTCCCTCCAATTTCTTGATAAAGTTGCTCCCAACCAATCACGCTTTGATCTCTATACGGTAAACTATGGGTTAACAATAGGAGGTACTAGAAAGTTTGGTGATAGATCAAGTCAAACATTATGGCGGCCAATGTGTGCAATGGCAATCTCAATCCGAGGTCGATCATCAGTAGATGGGGCTCGCAACGGTAGAACCGTCATACACGGAAACAACTCTCTTCGTGGGCCAACTCCATAAACCATAACTGCACAATTCCAAAAATTTGCAATTGGATACAAATCATCGGGCAAGTCTCCGGGATACAAATGTATGTACTCTGGTCAATTTTCTTTCACCTCGTTTACAATTAGATACCGAGCCTGTATCCAATTATCTTACCCACCTAATAAAATTTAAACAACAAAATGTTAAGTAAAATCATTGGAATATAATGTGAAACTAACTTTATGCAAAGGGTTACCTAAGAAAAAGTCTGCAACACATCGAAATCAACAATATCCGTCCCCTATTACATTGTTCCAATCCTCCACAAATGGTTTGATGATATCTGGAAGTCCGTAAAGGTACGAAAAATGTGAAATGTCTCTTGCTCCTGAAAAATAATGAATTGCTATTTTTGTAGTTCATATGAATATCAAACTACAGTAAAAACAAACAAAAAAAATTACGAAGCATAAAAAACTTACCTCAACCCCACAACAACCACCATTACCACGTCCCCCATTACGACCTCGACGCCCACGAGTTCCACTTGTATACTCCCACGCACTACGGTCACGTCGTGTACTAGTTTGTGATGGTCTCTCTAGTAGTCGTGTTCCTGAGCAGCTCATTAACATCCGATTGATCAAATGGAGATGTTCATCTATTAGGTGAAATACAGAACGCATGACTGCAGGGTCACTTTAGTGACCTCATGCACAAGACTCTCAAAAAACTGATTGTCCTGTGACTGACGAACGGGGTCTTCCAACGGAGTTGGAACACAACAATCCTCACCAATCACTAGTGTCCTATAAAAGGGGTGCACTTGGTCTAAATAGAAGTATGTCCCCGAATCCATGGCACGACGTGTATCACATGCACTAGGAATCTGATGAGTCGTCTTATAAACGCATTCACACCGAACATTCACCTCATGACTTAACTCTCCCATTCTTTTCTTCTCATTCACCAACAACATACAATGGTGGGAGGTACGTCCATTAAGATGTTGCAATGGCATAACATCATACATCCGGCCATGACTACGTCGAC